TACGCGTGCGCCCGAAGAGCAGCAAACAGCAGGGGAGCGGCGGCAACGGCAGCGCTGGTGACGACCATGACAATGATGATGGCCTGATCAGCATTGCAGACTGATGCGGGTTGTGTGTGTGTGTGTGTGTGTGTGTGTGTGTGTGTGTGTGTGTGTGTGTGAGTGAGTGAGTGAGTGTGTGCGTGTGTGTGTGTGTGTGAGTTTGGTGGTGCCGTGGACTCATTTTGCGCGGCTGTGTTTTCGTGTTATGTTTGTTTTTGACCACATTGCTGAGACTGCACTGCTTTTAATTGAACCACTCGACCCAATGTCGCATGGGATTAAGCAACGCTGGGCAGGAGAGTTGCAATCCTCATGCCATCCGACATGTGAGAGCAGCGGTGAAGATTGCGTGGAAACATCGAGAGCAGGGCGCATGTGCTCCTCTTTTCTGACCAAATAGCTGAGGTGTGTGTGTGTGTGTGTGTGTGTGTGTGTGTGTGTGTGTGTGTGTGTGTTTGGAAGGGAAGAGGGTGACTAGTGCCAGTACTTGGCGGCAATTTGGTTTGGTGACGCGTGCTGCATGCGTGCGCACTCCCGCAACATTCCCCGTCGCAGCGCCAGCGTGTGGCTCAGCGACATGTACGACAGCAGGATGCTCCCGCCCCTGTGAGAAGGGAGAAGGGGGGCAGGTGGATATGTGAGTGAGTCGGTGAGTGAGTGGGTGAGTGGGCGAGTGAGTGGGCGAGTGAGTGAGTGAGTCAAACGGTGGTGTTGTCCGCCCCTTTTCAAACACGTCCCATTCCAAACACACAGACACAAAACTCACCAGACAGAGACCATGAACCAGTGGCGAGCGAGCAGGAGGCCGAGAAACTGCACCACTATGACGCCAATCTGACGACGCACAAATAGAGAGGGAGTGAGAATGAAGAGTGGAAGGAAGTCGGATGGATGGAGACGCACAGAATGTCTTGCAAGCAAGAAAGCAAGTATGTTTGTGAAGGAAGCAAGCAACACGTGTTTATACCGACACACACGTACACACACACACACACACACACACACACACACACACACACACACACACACACACACACACACACACACACAGGAGACACACACACAGACACACACACATGGACATGGATTCCCAGCGGACCTGGATGAGGGCGACTTGGGCCATGGCGCTGGCCGGGTGGCGGAAGAGCGACCAGAACACGCGCGAGAGGCGGTTGCTCGGCTCGGCCGTGTTCTTTTGGTCGAGTGCCTTGTAAAACTGCACGCACGCATGCACGCACGTGACACGGCGTGAGCGACCACGCGACAGGGGAAAGGCAGTCATGTCAGTGTGGCGTGGAACAGGACGTACAAACACGGCACACCATCAACAACAGTACGAGCACTGCAGCCCCGTGTACCTTTTTGCGATGACGAACAACATCGCCCCGCGCCCACACTTGGCCTGCCGTCCACCTGTAATGTTGTGAGCACATGCGCAAATGGGTGAGGCGCACACCACGCAATCACGTCCATGCAATGTTACAGAGCACACATGTGTACACATACACACACACACACCACGCAATTGCAACAATGCAAAGTCGCAGAGTACGCACACACACACACACACAGTGAGCGTACGTTTGGCCGCCGGTTGTGCGACACGGCTGCCAGCGCCCGAGCATGCACGCGCAATCGTACAGGCGCTGTAAACACACGCACACAAGAGTTGCACACACGGGGGTGGGGGATGGTTAAGATGGCCAAAACTTGACACATTCAACGCAAGCAGGCGTGAGAGCAAGGGTGTGTCTCATGGGGCAAAACCCAACACGGCGATGTGTGATGAGCAAGCACGGACACGCACCTCCCAGTAGCTGCAATATGGCTGTGTGCACTCGAGGGCAATGAGATCAAGGCCCCCGCACACGCCGAGAACGATGCACTCCAGCCAGCCCATCACCGCGTGGTCGTCCTGCCAAGTTCATTGGGCACGAGCGCGTTCATGTGCACAAGTTATGTGAGTGAGAAGACGTGAGGCGACATTGGCAGTGGGGAAGAGTGTCGGAGCAATCACAGACACAGACACACAAACACAAGACACACACACACACACACAGACACACACACAGACACACACACCAAACACACACCAGTGCACTCACCGGGATGAGGAGGAAGGGGAGGATGGTAAAGTACCACGTGGTCTCCAAGAGACGCAGGGTCCCATATCGCGCCAGATACTTGAGAATGTCCGCCATGGCCCCGGGCTTGTAGTGCGGCGGCCCAGCATGGTACCTGGCACACGGCCAAACAGTACACACAATCAAGGGTAATCGCAGCACGTGAGTGCGATGTGACGCGAGATGGTGTGTGACGTGAAATGGCATGACCTTGCGTGACACGGTATGAATGAGAAAATGTTGACCCCTACGCCCTCTTGCCTCTCACCAGAGCCGGCGGATGGCTTCGCTCGATGGCCCCATGCGCAGAAGACTGGCGCGAAGGAGGGCCGGCCCCCAACACAGCACAACAATGTGCCAGTCGTGCGTCCACCACAGCTCGCGGAAGCACTGGAACAACCAAAACACGACGGGCAGGAGGAGGAGGAGCCGGATGGCTGCGCCGACGGTGACGCGACGGTTGGCACGCATCTGACCCACCGCTGTCCGCACCACCGCCATGATCAGTGGCTTGGCAGACATGAGGGCCGCAAACCCAAGAAAGGACACGACGGGCTTGTCAAGATGCCACAGATACACGGAGAAGGAGTGCATGGCCACGCGCCCAATGCTGACAACAATGAGGAGCATCTGGAACACGAGGATGCGCAGGTGCGCCGGGGATGCAGACGGGATTGGCTTCTTGCGCGAGGACCCGCGGGAAAACGATGACGGGGGCGAGCGAGGGGAGGCGGTGTTGCGGCCGCGTGGGATGGTGGCGTCCACTCGCGACTGCGGCGCTGAGGCGGCGTTCATGGCTGAGGAGGAAAAGGATGAGGTCGAGGACGAGGACGAGGACGAGAAGGAGGCTGCGTTGGCGGCGCGCGCAAGCGTCGACTCTGCCGCGTGCGCCCCGTTGGCGGACGTGCTTCCGCGTCCCATGCGTGTGCGTACGTGCGTGCGTGCGCTCAATGTGCTGTGAAACGAAAAACAGGGTTGGTACGCAGGGGATGAGGAAATGAGGCTTTGCGTGCATGCGCGTGCGCGTGTGTGTATGTGCACGTATGTGAATATGGGAGTGATGGGAGAAAGTGGAGGCAGAGAGGGGACGACGTGTGTCTGGCTTGCGTAACAGGCGCTGGTTGTGCACGTGGCAAGCACTGTCGCGTGCGGGCTGACACGTGGACACGTGGACACGTGGACACGTGGACACGTGGACATGTGATGAGGCACGTGCAAACAGCTAATCGCATGCTTGTGCCATACACACGCACACACACACAAGCGGTGCTGTTGAGGAACACGACAATACCTGTGTTGCGGCTGTCTGTGGGTGGACACGCTCGTTTGTCGATGATGAGATACTGACAGCCGTAACCGACAGGCAAGAAGGCAAGCGCGCAATCAGACGTGTGTGATGATGGAATATCGCAGGTGAGCGTGTGGAGAGCCACACGTCAGTGCCAGTACCAGTAGTGGTAGACGTAGCGAGCACAGTGATGTGTGCGTGTGCATGCGATGCATGCGACGGACGTTCCAACAAAGCAAAGAAGCAAGCAAGCAAACTGGAAGCGTGCATCGAGCAAACAAATACGGCAACGAACCACGACAGCGGCGACACGAGAAAATGAATTTGTGCTGTCGGATGTGGTGTGTGTGTGTGTGCGTGTGCGCGCTTGTGTGTGCGCTTGTGTGTGTGTGTGTGTGTGTGTGTGTGTGTGTGTGTGTGTGTGTGTGTGTGTGTGTGTGTGTGTGTGTGTGTGTGTGTGCTTGTGTGTGTGTGTGTGTGTAGATGCAAACGCGAGCTTACAACATAGCACACGCCACCCGCGTTGTGCCTTACCCTTCATCTCTTCGTCTGCTTCACTGTACTTCTTAAAAGGGCAGCTCCCCGAGAAAGGAAAGGTAAAAGGAAGGACGGAGCGTGCAAGCAACGAATACGGGAGAACGAAGAGGAAGACGAAGGAACGAAGTAAAAGGGAAGGTAGAAGGTAACACGCAACGAAGCAAGGCAGGAGGGAAAGAAGAAGTCAAGTTAGCAAATTGCCTCCGTGCGTAGCGTGCAAGCAATGCAATCAAAGGAAGCAAACAAAACAACACGGATGAGGAAGGAAGGAAGGGAGCGGAAGCAGAAAGGCTGCACTACTGCACTACGCTTCCACGGGCAAAGGACCCACTCAAACCAAAAGCAAATCAACATCCAAGTGCGAGGCTACGCGTGGGAGTGGGACATGGCACTAAGCGTTGTGCTGAAACGCAACGCGTCTGTTGGTCGCCCTGTACGCGCAAAGCAGCAGCAAAGGTATCCCCAACTAACAACGGACACAGACACACACACATAAATGCAGACGCACACACACACACACACACACACACACACACACACACACACACACACACACACAGACACACACATGCGCGCGCACACACACACACGCACACAGACGCACACAGACACACATACACACACACAGACGCACACGGACACACATACACATACATGCACACACACATACATGCACACACACACACACACACACACACACCAAACACCCACACCCACACACAAAGCATGTAAACGTCAGCGTCCTTCCCAGTAAACCCCTTGCAGCGCACACCACTGCCGGTGCGGTCAGCACCCGGGGTCTACGATGATCACGCTGTGGCTGTCGCGGGGAATGCCATAGATGAAGCCATTGCTGGCGAGAATGCCGCTCCACCACTTGTAGCCGCTCGTCAGGCCAGAGAGCGTGGTCGTGTCGGCGGTGTTGGTCAAGGGATCAATGATCAGTACGTTTGGCGCGAGGTAGGGCAGCGCAAGGATGCGGCCATCTGGCACCACAACCCCGCCGATCCACTTGTCGCGTGCAGAGGAGATGCCGGAGATGGTGGTGATGTCTGCAGTGTCTGTGTCGGGGTCCACGATGAGCACGTCTGAGGAGTGATAAGGGATGCCGAAGATGCGGCCGTCGTTTGCCAGCACCGTGCCTTGCCAACTGCTGCCACCCGACAGCTGTGAGATGCTGGTCGTGTCCGCGGTGTTGGTCGTCGGGTCTATGATGAGCACCACGCCCGCGGTTGAAGGAAGGGCGTAAATGCGCCCGTTCTTGGCCACAACAGCACCATACCACTTACAGCAAGCCCCGCCAAGCCCTGCGATCGTGGTCACGTCGGTCGTGTTGGTGTCTGGGTCGAGGATGAGAACAGAGGAAGCATACCACGGCACAGCGTAGATCAAGCCAGTCTCTGGAACGAGGACGCCGCTCAGCCACTTGCTGGCGCCCGCGAGCTCGTTCAGCCCCGACAGCGTCGTTGCATCCGCCGTGTCCGTGCCGGGGTCGATGATCAGCACGGAATCGGCACCATGCGGGAACGCGTAGATCAGGCCATTGTTGGCGAGCACGCCACCGCCCCACTTGTCACCGCCCGCTGCAAAGCCAGAGATGGTTGTTGTGTCGGTCGTGTTGGAGTCGGGATCGATCACTAGCACGGAGGGTGCGCGGTAGGGAATGCCGTAAATCTTGCCGTTGCCTGCAAGCACGCCGCCGATCCACTGGGAAGAGCTTGACCCAACGTCCGTGAGCGTGGTCAAGTCCAACGTGGGCGGGTATTGCTGACACACAGCGGCAGTGAGGGCGCTGATCCGCGCCTGCTGCGCCTGGATGGTGGCGTGCTGCTGGCTGGCCAGCTTGAACAACGACGCCACATTCACGCCGTTCAGGAACACGGGCTGTGTCGCTGCATCTGTTGTGTTGATGTGCAGTGCACCGGTGCTGTCCTCCCTCAGCACAGCCTCGCCATGGCACCCACTGCCGCAGAACAACACAAGGAGGAGGGGAAGGAGGAGCAGTTGGTGAAGCATATCAACACTCACCACAATGGAAGCGTGTTCTTCGTTGCAACCAGACCACCAGCTTCTCGCACTCACTATCAGCTGCTCTTTTGTGGTTAGCGAAGCGAAGAGCTGAGCGACTCGACCAGCCTTGCGTGCTCCACCAGATCCCCCAACCAAAACAAAAAAAAAGCTGGTGGGCACTCTCTCCTCTGTCTGTGTGTTTCGTCTCCTTTGTTGTTGTTCCCACCCACCAACCAAACAAAAAAAAAAAAAAAAAAGGCGAAAGCCACACCCCCCTCCTCCAGTTTTGCTTTTCCTTCTCTCTTCCTCTCTTGTGTGCACTGCAACCACAACAACCAACCAACCAATCCTTGCCACTCTTCTCTTTCTCCCCTTCCCCTCCAACCAAACCAGCACAACCCCCACTCCCCTCTTCCCCCCTCTCCCTGTTTGTCTCTCCCACCTCGACCATCTCCTCGATCGTCTCCTCTTCCTGGCACCTCGCCCCGCGCCACCAAGCCCTCAAGCCCTCAAGCCCTCAAGCCCACCGTCCGCGCCACACGGATTGCCCACTGAGCGGTTGACCTCCAACCAAACCCCCACAACCCCCCAACAACGCTCCTCAGGCTCCACACACACACAGAGCCATGGCTGACCAGCGACTGACGCACGGCGTGTCCGTGGCAGCTGTGCGGCGGTTCCTGGATGACCTGAAGCGCGAGTTCCCCGACACGTACGCTGGAGATGACCACGGAGGATGCTTGCAGCACTGGTTGTGC